TTGTTTCGCTTTTTTCTTGTCATTATCTAAAATTCTTGAAAATTTGATTTTTCATATGTGTGTCTTCCTGAGGCCATGTGTTTATTTCGTCCGCCATTCCTCTGTCACCCAGAGTTCGAATAACATTGATTTTACAATAAATGCGACTATAATAACATCAAGACAAGAAATTACTAAGTTATAATCATTAGGTAATATTACTTACTACTTTTATTTGTTGCATCGCTTCGTCTGATTAATGAAAAACCGCGATTTTAACCCCACTTCAGCAAATCGGGAAAAACTGTTCTGTTCGCAGCTCGAGTTTCCTAGATAATATTACTACACTGAGCACATGGTTGGCATGTGCATATATTTGCTGTAGATAGATGCGTTTATTACCATGATCATATTTAATTTTTCGTGGAACAAGTCTTGATAATTTGTTGGTTTCTTTAAAACTCAAGAAAAAAGATAAAAAATGCCCTAAACATATGTGTTTACGTCGGGTCTTTTTTCTGTGGCGATAGAAGTTATTTTGAAATGGGGCACTGCAAGGAGGATGATTAGCATTTAATTTGAAAATGTTAAACAATATGCGGTGCATGAAAAACAAATTGCAATTACATGTCTTACCTTCGAAAAGTTGGTATATATGTCTATTTTTTTTAGCAGTTAGATAGAATAAAATAGGCAGTTATAGGATTTCCTTCAGGTACCTCACATAAATAGCTTGATTGTTTGCAATGACCAACACATTGTATGGAGTAATGCTTGGACATAAAAACGCATCATGTCTCATTATGTTGACTACGTTGTAAGCTCTCGCTCAATGAACATACGAAGCTTGATGAAATATATTGAGTTGTTTCTTTGAAATTTAGAAGCAATCACAATGTTTGCAAACAAAGGTCCCATTGTATATGCTATGTCTACCATCGCCAAAAAATGAGAGACTACCCCCCCCCTCTCCCTTCCGAAAATCCTATGTTCTTTTTTCAACAAAGTGCCAAAGATTAAAAATTTTGCATTTCTAAGTATGTGATGAAACATGTACTAGCCTTATACGACCATTTGTTTTAAAATTATTTGGTTGCCCTCTCTCCCGATTTACTACCTAGAAATGGCCCGACTCAATTTTATTTTTAATCCAATTACAGGATTTTTTTTTCTTCCGTCAACAAATATGTTTAAATTTTAATGAATTTTTTTCTTCTCACCTATAAATACGGACCGGCACCCAATAATTTTTCCCTGAGTTGGGAGGTCCACTAAACGTCATTTTAAAGATGGTATAAAATATTTCATTTTGTTGATTTTTTTTCTTTATTCTGTAAAATTGTAATTTTGACAAAATGGGCAAATAAAAAAAATATTCATTAAATCTCCTAACCCACTCTGAATGATTTCATTCCTTTTCAAATGTTGCTCCGCAGTAATGAAAATCGTAAATGTTTATTTGACAGAGTATATACGGGGGGGGGGGGGGTGATCGAAAGTAAACGATATCTTAGGTATTTGATAGTTATATTATTGTTGAAATATTCAAGTATTTTTCAAAGTGTAAATTGGAGATCTTTGACAGCATATTGCTTAATTAAAAACAAACCCCTTTTCAAACTTGCTTTCACCGGGCAACATAACAAGTATTATATTCAACCATCTGCCTTCCTTCACTAAAACGATCTATCCAATCATAGATTGAATTATTAGGAAGTCATTTGTCTTAATAAACTATGAACAAATTCTTATACGTTACTTCAAAGGCATTTTTAAGATATACCATAAATTTTTTAGTCGTTTGTTGAATGAGTTCCACTGAGACAACCATTTTTCGTCACAAGTACCTGCATAATGACTTCATTTTCACATTGTGAGCAAAACTTTATTCAGAATATGCTATTTATAGAACTTGAGAGTGCACCAAATTTGTTTCTAATCTAAATTTTGGTTTTAGATAGTTCGAGAACTTTTTGATCACCCCTCGTACTAGTAGATACTAACACAAGGTTTTTCATATAGATTTTATGTGTTTAATTTCTTTGTGTTTCATTGTTGATAATTAATCTTTTGATAGATATTATCAACAATCTGTGGCAAACTTACAAACTCTTAATTTTAAACTTTGATGGTGCTCATTTTTTCCTTACCTGGAATCAAAGAGTTTATTTCAATACGTACACTATTTAACAACTGTTCGATAATACATGTAATACTAAATAAATTACTTCAAGCCACACTATAACACAATTCCTCTTTTAAAAGCGTTAATATTATTTGAAATGTTTTGCAACTGTAATTCTCTTCTACATTTAAAGATTGTTACTAGTATGTCCCTCCATATTAAGAATAGGTCTTGAAAACAAAATTCTGTGCTAAAAATAGACCACGTGCTGCTATCAATGAACTACTTTTTTGGTTCTTTACACTCTTTTTGATGACAACGATACCTTGTTTTGAACTTAAAATTATCATTTAAAAGTGCAAAATTTAGAAATTTTCTCAACAAATGGTTGTAGAGAGAACATTAATGCACAGTTTGCGTATTTTTTTGGATTTTTTAAGGCTCTGCTGAATTCTGTAGCTGCGCAGTTCTAAGGAGGATATCAAAAGCATTTTTCTGCAAAAGTATATATTATATATGCACAACATGCAATCAGTTATGCATATTTATTGTATCTTTATCATAAAGACTTAAAATTTGATCAAAATATAATGTACTTTAGCCATTTGAAGAAATGTTTACATTTTGTTCTCACTGCACTAAAGGTGGCCGTACATCCCCCTTAATCTATGCGAAAAACTTTAATTCTTGATATCTTCGTGATGAATTTGGAACTTAATCAATATTCGTTATAATTAGAAAGGCCTATGTACTACATACACATACAACTCTTTTGCTAAAGAATTACTTAATTGTTACGCAGATATGTTAAGGCAGCACACAGATCGTTTTGTAAATAGCTTCTTTCATCAAACAATGCTTTTCATGTTGCAAAGTTTTTACATCCCCTCCCTCCTCTTCCCAGAGATGATGTATTAGAAAATTTCTGGGCATGATATGTCCCGTGCTAAGGAATTCATTGTCATAAAAAAAAATGTCTGATGAGGGATAAAAAAAGTTCCACGGTAATAAAAACTGATGTTTAGATGTTACGCAGCACGGTTAAGGCCTACTATGAGAAATCGAAGGAAAATAGATGTGCAAAAAAGGGGGATTTTTATAAAACTTAATTTATTTTAATTAAGCTGTTTTATCATCACAGAATTAAAATACTTATGGAAATAGCATAGTATAACCCACTCTGTACTGTATGAAATTTGGTCCCATCGATGGACAGTCACGTGATGTATGCATAGTTCGTGTACTGAATGTACGTAGGTCATGAACAAATTTCAATATCGCAAGGGCATACCCTAGTTGAAATTAAAATTTCAAGCTATTAATTATTTCTCCATACTTTGTAGTTTCTGAAAAATACTGCTGCTTTGAATACAATTCGCGTTTTAATAGTTAAATTTTCAGGTAAATGAGCCAATGTCGAAATATGTTTGACTTTTACCAAATATTTTGTGTACTTACAAAATCACACCCTCGATTTAAAGAAAGCAGCAGCATTTTTCAAGTTAAGATATATATCCTTTATCTTTATTCAAAAAATGGTTAAGATCTATTAGGGTATGCCATTGCCAAAGTACGATTTTATGAGACATCTCGTTGTAAAATATACGAAGCCTGTACATAAAAACACGACATAGTTAACAAAATACATTCTTTAGATAGTTAATGAAAAATCGCTCTAAACAAAGGAAATACATTGGTATTCATCGACTATTTAACACCTGTATTTAATATTCCGTTTAATAATAAAACGCATTTTTCATTGTTAAAAAATTCCTCAATCTGTCTATCACAGCACATGAAATACGTCATTCTTACCAAAATGACGTCATTTTATAAGTTCATCGCAATCAGTGCTTTGTTTATAACCAGCTACATTGGATTTAACTAGCAAGTGTTTTTTAATGGATTGAAAAGTTTTATTGTTGTTCATTATGCTAATACATTTAAAAGTTGCTAATTATTTCATTTTCAGGTATCATGAGAAATACATAAATTAAAGTGATAGTTTTGTGTGACGTCACAGTTACTTTACCCGTATAAATAAGGCCCCGCCCTTTTTTCAAGCCTTAACAGTGCTGCGTATTCTGACTTTAGCATTACAGTAAACTAAGGTTCTCAAAATCTTCAAAAATATTCTCAAAACACTTAATTTTTATGTTGAGTTACGCATTTTTTTTCATACATTTTAGAAATGTTTAGAAATATGCGTAAATAAATGTATCGAACTAAATTTGGTAACTTTTAATTATCCTTGCATATACATGTAGCTAGACTACAACAGCATTTGTTATGAAACAGCAAAAGTACGATATATGTACATATGTTTATATCAGCATTATTCTTTCTTAGATGAATCTATTGAAGAAAACATATGTTCAATTCTGTGTGAACTTCATTGGGGTGTCAGATGTCATAGTGCGACCGATTTGCTAGGCTAGGTGATATATTGTTTATATATATTTCTGTCTGTTTTCGGACTACCAAGGTTAACGCGATGAAAAGGATAAAATAACTGACACATATAGATATTTTTATTCAACAGATGTTTACTAGATCTTCCTTTGGTGGGAAGAATGTTTTGAATACTATTATTACAGTCTAAAATCGGAAATTCCTTTGAAGTTATGTTAACTAAAACAGGGGATATCACTAATTTTGACTTCAAATACATTAAAAACTCATAAAATAATAAGATTATTCTCCGTAGGGATCATTGTTTTTTTCAATATAAAATTCTGAAACTGGACTGCTGATCATCATTGTAAATATTCAAATGTTGAAACAAGACGAATCTTTCGGGCTTCACAGGATTTGATCACGTGACCAACTAAACGTTCATTCTCAGACACTTTTTACATTGTTGTTTATTTCTTAAGTAAACATAAAATTAACTCACTTGTGTTCCAAGACTGACATCTTTTCGAGTTAAAAATGAATAAGAACAGGAGAATAACGACTAGAAAGATCGATGATGATACTACTCCAGCAATTATAGATGCGGTCTCAATCCCTGGCTGCAAATTAAAAGTACTGTTTGGTGACACCGAAGTAAGATTAGAGCTGTCTGTGGACAGGATATATGCTGAGGAGTCAGTCATGAGATTAAACGTTGTGGAATTTGGTATTGCACGGCTCCTTAAATAATAAAAGATTCACCCAATAATATAAAAATTTGATTCAATCCGTCGTCTAATCTTATGAGAAGATGCATGAGAGTGCACAGATTTACTTACGTTTCATTTAAACAGTTTTCATTTGCCAAATAGCAGCGTTTTTGTGGATTGATTTCCAAGCAGGCTGAATCTGAAACAATAAATACATGCCTATTTTTGATTGTTTTTATTCACAGGCCCTCGTCACACATGTTAAATGTACTATTGCATCCGAAAAAGATTTCGTCTTACATTTGAAAACTTCATTGGTAATGTAAGGTTCCCTCGGACAACCATAAAGGAAAGTGGAGCAGTCGATGGCGTCTAGGTGTCCTGAAGATACAGCATAAGGGCAGATATCTAAAGAGATAGGGAAAATATTCAAAGTTCGTTCTAAAGGTCGATTCACATCTTGAGTCATTCAGTTTTAAATGAGAATATTTTAACTAAGATGTTGCTACATAGGCAATTTACCCACATATGATCCACATATGCATTGCCTTTCATATGAAGATCATGTGTGGAACATATGAGAATCATATGTTTATACAATCATATGAGAATCATATGTGGCCAATCATATGAGAATCATATGATCATGCATATGTTAATCATATGAAGTAATATACATATGATTCTCATATGAAATGTCCTTCATATGAGAATCATATGTATATTTTGGTAGTAGTCCTATGAGAACCATATGAAACTGATCATATGAGAATCATATGAAACCATATTAACTAATTTGCCCTTGTTATATACTCAGGTAAAAATCATTTGAATATTTTGACAGTGATCATATGAGAATCACATGAAACAGTATTCACTTATTTGTCCTTGGTATACTCAAGTTAAATTGCAATTTCAATGATATATCTAAATAGTAATTTAAATGTACATTAATTTCAAAAGAATTTGTTAGCAATAACTCTGTTTAACACCCCCCCTTTTCCCTTATAAAAAAACTTTCACAGTTTTCTTTTTTCTGTTATAATGCATATCCCAGTCAAAATTGATAAAGAATAAATCAATTTGCTTTTTATTTCAAATATTTTGCGTTTGGGTTTATTACTTGAGTAAAATAAAAAAAAAATCCGTATTTTTCCTGGATCGGTTTGAACTTCTATCGGATGAAAGTGTACGTCATGTTTGACGTCACTGCTGCAGCAGAAGTGCTGGGTGTTGGAAAAAGTAAGTAATTTCTAAACAATTTCTTAAAGACCTTTAATTCATATTGTTGAAATATCATTTCATTACGGTTACAGGTTCGTATGAACTCATCTCTGTAATACTCTTAATCCGAGATTTCTCTGACTCTATCCCCCGCTTTTATATCGATATTGAATCTCGGATAATAATATTCTCAACACTTGTAATTGTTAGATTAATACATTTCGTAAACCTACATAACGTTAGTGATGATCTGTAAGTAATTTTGGATAAATTTGTTTCTGAATGGATGTAAACATTACAATTTACATGTTAGGCTAAAGGCATTACTCTGTTTTCTTTTTGTTTTGACTTTTGTTACGTACTGATTTGAAAGTGAAAGTAGAAACCCTGTATAGCAGTTTGGCGTTTTTGTATGTTGAGATCGTTATCAAGTCGATTCTTCCATCAACTTAATGACAAATGTTTATTTCTATGGCCTATAGATGCATTCAACAACTTAAGTTCAGTGTCACCGTGCTGCTTTTTTATTAAGTCCAAGAAGCCCAAAGCTGATAAGACTGGCAATTGATCCAAAAGCTGATTGTGACAGACGATTGCATCATCACAATATTTAAGGTAAAAAAAAATACTTGCAATAAAAAATCAAAGTGTACATCTGTAATGACTCCTTTATGAAAAAATATTTCTTGATGATTTCTTTTTGTTACATTTTTTAATTCCTTTATAATTCTGCATTGTTTGCATGGCGTCATCAAAATTAAATTCAACTCAATAATAAAGAAGTTGTATTCTACATTATGAAACAATTTTAATCCAATGCACTTTTAAAATATGGTAAGTATGAATAGAATATGCTGGCTTTAAAAGCTATGAAACTATATAGGCCACCCCTGAAAACCGTAGGAAATATCCCCTCATCATACCGGCCGCTTTTTGATAGCAAGAAATGTTACTGTCATTGGCCAGAGGGGTAATAATGACCGGCCGGAGGTGTGAAAAATAGCCTACCCACGAGAGGTCAGAGGTGTGAAAAACTGAATATGACTCATAGAGTTTTCTATTGTTTAGCCGTCTTGAAGGGGTAGTTATCGTGCCAGACTACATAAATGGCCGGTCTCAGCTGTGTACATATGATTAACATCAATTAAACTTAAATTAATAAAATATCAATCAACTAATAAATTTAAATCACAGAATGAATCAACGGATTCTCGCACGCCATATTGCATCATCTTTTTAAATACAGAAGCGGTCTTGAATTTGGGAACTGTTAAAAAATGCCGAGAAAATAAAATAAAACATTTAGCAAAATAGACATTTCATTATTAAAATTACTGTTAACAGAAGTTTTGTTCAGAAATGTTTTAACTATTTAATTTTAACTGAAGTAGATACATTTTTTTAATGACGTAAGCGATACACAGATTCTGTATAGAATTCAGTTAAGGCAAAGGGTCCGGTTTATTTCTTCTTATATGGTTAATGAAGTAACTGTCCATGTTTTTTTCTGTTCTCGTTTTTTTTTAATTTCTTTTCATAAAAATCAACATGTATTAATAACATGATGACAGATAAATACAATAGAAACCAATACAGTGTATTAAATATTTTTTCTAGCATCTGTCACATAGTTCTACATTTCTTCAATATGTTAGATTCTCGAGAAACCGACCACCCCTCTAGTTCGGCCATATTATTCAGCCCGGCAGCTGGCCGGTTTAGAGAAGTTTTTCTGTATAACATTAGTTTTATTTCGTAGTCGTATTATATCTGTGTCGGTAAATTGGGAATACATTTGGTTGCTGATGATAAATTACTTTAATATAACTTGTAGAATTGATTTTGTAATTTAAGAATTATTTTATTTTTGAAATTTTTGTAGAGACCATTCTGTGCCACAAAGAAATTGTTCAGGAAGGGGAGAACTGGTGGATTTGCATATTTGGTACAGTTCAAAGAGATTTTCACAATGGTCAGATCAGAGGGAGGACAACTGAAAATATTGAAAAGATAAAAAAGGAAAAAGAACCTGGAAATATATGAAATAATTCTGAAATGTGGAAAATGTACACAACCTTGTCTGAATTTGACCTGTAAAGATTTCCCATTCTTATTTGTATGCTAGAATATCAAAAAAACCTGATTTTTCATAAATTTACAATAGAGCTCGAGAATACATGACAAATGTTATTGCTGATATTTCAATTTTGCAGTGGACACTTTCATGTCATATGGTAGATCTATACAAGTACATGACCTAATTATTTTATTCATTTGTACATGTATACATGTTTAACTACTTAATCATTTTGCTGAAATCTTATAATTTGTACTCATTTTAGAATATGTTAAATACATGTATCGACAAATGCTACTGACTTGTTTGTATATTTTTTTGTTTAGAATGTACACTGTGAAAAATTAGTTATTTCTCTTGATGAAAATAATTTTACCAAAAAAGTTGTGTAAGCATTATAAAATATTTTAAAATATTTAACCAATGAAGATAGATCATTTTACATGTAATGTAATAAATTTTCATCTAAAGCAGAAATATCTGATTTTTAAATGTGTACAAGAATATGAAAAATATTGAAAGAGAACACACATAACTGTTTCATATGATTTACATATGATACCCCTTTTCATATGATTCTCATATGTAAATGACTTGAAACACAATTAAATATTTCATATAATTTACATATGATGCCATTTTCATATGATTCTCATATGTAAATGGCTTGAAACACACTTAAATCATTCATATGCAAATCATATATAGTTATTCTCATATGATTCACATATGTGGATCATATGTGAATCACATTATTTGCTTCATATGATTCACATATAATGTCCTTTTTCTATGATTCACATATGAGATCAATCATATGAGAATCATATTATACTCATATATGAGAATCATATGCGGCTAAGTTGCTTGTGTAGGCTTAAATAAAAAATACCTTTGTTTCCCCTAACGCGACCGACCCAATTAAATCGCGCCGACTGAAAAGATTTTTTGAATAAATTGATTCAAATATTTTTTTTTTATTTAACCTAGTTTTATAAAATACAATTTCATTAAAATCACTTTTTATCAGAACGGCCGACGTCGTTCTTCTGTGATTTTTAAGCATTTGTTGGAAAGAAAATGACTTCCAGATGTTGTTACAGGCCTAGGGCAGTAGCTCTTCATAAAACAATGGCGACGTCTCAATACTATGTTTTTAGCTTTTTGGAATTCTTTGCTTTTGAAACAATTCAATGATAAAATTTACTGTGACTAACTAAGAATGTTTTGGAGGTGTGTTGGCGTCTCCATGTGAGTGAATACATTTTTAAATGGGACGTTAAACAACAAACAAACAAACCTGTCTTTGAATTCAGGGTACGTAATATATGGCAAGGCCCGCCTCATGAGTAGATGAGGGAACCACCTAGTGAACACGTCATTTAATTTCATTGCATTTCATTTAATTTGAGTTTTGATCTAATAACCAGTTCATCTATAATACTTTTTTTACTATATGCCATTATGGAACCATAGGAGTTGTAAAAATGTTTGCATATTCATCCTGATAAATATACTTCAGATGTCCTTTCTTCATACCTATATTTAGTGGTTAAACTTCATGTCTATGACATTGTACATGTATAAAGCATTTTTATCATTTGTAGATTTGGGTTGGTTCAATTAAATATTGTTTACATATTCTTCCCAACTAGTTTTGAAATCATGATTCAGCTTCCTGAGACGTTCAGTGTATTTTTTTTTAATTAGGCCTTGGAAGATTGTTTGTTTCTTTGCTTTTAATCCCTTCGAGATTTGTTAGGACTACATTTAACTATTTCCCCATTGCTCCAAATTTAGACGTACTCAGCACTTTTTTGCCATTAAGCAGTGGGGAGTTTGTTTTTTTTTTTTTTGAGCCAGTATCTTCTGCGACACTGGACATAAGTTTATATGGTCCCCTTTGAAGGACTTCAACCTTTCAACGTTATTAATTGTTATTTAAACCTGCGATTTAAATTTAGCCACTTACTTCTTAACACCAAAGCAAAATGCTCCAGTACCATTGCAAATCTCATGGCCCTCAAAAAAGTACATTTATCGTCTATAAGCTCTGAAGGCTGATGAAAGGTTTGAAAAAATATACTCGTATGTCTGGTCTTTGCGTATTTGAGAAACTTGTCTATTTTATTCAATTTATATAAATGTAATGGAGTGAAATATTTCACAAGTTCAACTGAATAACAGTTATGAACTAATTAATCATGAATTTTGCTTTTAAACGGCATATTTGCGATACTTAGCATTTTGTTCACAAATTACTTTATTTTGTACTTTTCTTATTTATAAAGGTAATTTTCCATTAAATTTTAGAATGTATTATCAAAGCTGCTGTCAGAAAATAAAATTGTTAACCTACCTACCGACCCAACTTGAGAATTCAGGTTCGGGTTAGGGGAAACAAAGATATTTTTTTAATTCCGGCCTCAGCAAGGACATTATGTAAATCTGATAGATTAAAAGGGAAAAAAATTGATTGGAATCTATGTGTTATTTTCTTTTTACAAATATCTTTGACTTACTTGCTTCAAATCTGCCAATACTCCCTTTAGAACAAAACTCCACCAGTGACGATCTGTTCTCATTAGGTACACACTGGTACAGGTTCCTACCTTGTGTATCATTGGGGCACTGTAACTTGATGCCGTTGTTCAGCCAAGTGGGAGCGTCTTTGGGACAGGTTGACACTGATCGGAATGTCACATTCCGATCCATCTGTCTTCTACAACAAGTTATTGAACCACTAGCATTAAATATTTTACCTGATGACTTACAAATGCTTAATAACGGGTTTTCCATGAACTCGTTTATTCAAACAATAATTTTTCCTAATTCTCAGAAACTAAACAATGAATAGACTGCATGTATGTACCGGCATTTTTCAAATAAAGGCTAGAATGGCAAATGCGCAGGTATGATAAGGCAGCACATGGATCAGAATTCGTCGATTTAACACTTTTTTATAATCATGTAACACCAATAAATTGGAAAAGTCAAGGATAAAACTTTTGCAATAATTATGCATTCTATAGACTTCAATGGAACTTATACTACAGTAAGCACTTCACCATGACGTCACCACGTGATATCTATAATTAGATAATATGCCTTAATGAAAAAGTGAGAAGTTCAACACTACCCCGGGGATAATAAGTTTTAATTTGTAATAATAGTTATGTAAAAATATCTCTGTACCAAGAAAAGTGCTGCTAGAATCCTACTGTCCTATCACACAAAAAATTATTAAACACTTTTGGACTTTCACTCTGCTACTGCGTGATCAACAGTTATGACGTCATGGGTTTGGTATTTAACCCCTGTGATAACTACAGAGGCCCAGTAACGACATATTTCCGTTAAAATTATGCCTATGCATATTTTAATTCATTTTTACGACCTCAAATCAATCTTAGATATCGATTTTTATGAAATTAGTATCTCTAAACTTCAAGTCGTATAGCTTACTATGACGTCATATCATATTGGCAAGTAGAATATTTGGTTGTAACCTTAACCTACCTGCGTGCAATATTATTTTCTAAGATGAAGAGAAATTCTTTTGTTGATGCATAATAAATAAGGTAGGTCTTAGATGCATCGGGGTATAATACAATCATGTAAGTATGTAAACAAGACGGAGTATATCTAACTGTGTTTCTCAAAATGGAAATAATGGAATAAAGTCATGAATATGGGAGTTTTCCCAGTTTAAACAAAAGAAAACTATCACGACTGCCTACCTACTACTACAAAAAGTAATTTCTTGTTATTCGCCCCTTAAAGTCCCTTTCTTAAAAATATTAAACTGAATATGGTTATCGGAATTACTATTTTGCATGATTTAAAATTGCATTCCATGAAAATAATGTATGGACTACTTAATTTTATTGGAGCAGTTTAGCAGTGCTTTATATATTGATTTAATCATCCATTTTTTTTTTATTGAATGTAATATCAACAATATTGTTTTAAAACTAAATTTTGATGCAAAATTTGAAGAATAAAGTAAACAAGTCCTTCTCGAAATCTCAGGAAATAACTACTTTTTCTCTCTTCCTGTTTCTTCCGTTTCAAACAATTAACAATAGGTGCTTTTTGACATTGAGTGTTAAAAATTTCTCAATTTGGTCAATTTACATCACACAACGAGCATAATAGTTTAATTCTTAGAGGATGAACACATCGGACTCCTTAGACCTTGCCAAAAATGAAATAAAAGATAAAAAATAAGAGAGTTAACCTTTATCTAAAATTAAAGAAGTTTCCATAGTTTCAAATATTTCCCGCAGATAGAGAAGACATAGAGAAGACATAAACAGACGTACTTAAAAAAAAAACTTAAGGAGTAGGTTTGATCCTGAACTTTCAAGGAAATGGTCTAGACCTTTATTTCTTAAATTCTGCATCATTTTTTTACGTTTTAATATTAACTCTCGATTATACAATGTAGAATTGTTTGTTTAAATCAGTATGGACTACCCCAAAATTGATTACAATAAAATTTGCTATTTGTCTCAAAGTCAATCAAACATATTCAGTGATAATTTGTTGAAATTTCGCAAATATACATGTTGTATGTCCTTGTAGTCAAGGACGGTACCCATTTTTAATGCCCATAATATCATTTTTGTTCATTGAAAACCATCTGATCATTTGTGTATAAACAGGCATAGGTTGCTCTAAATTAAACATATTTCATTTAATGTATTTTTAGGATTCTTAATTACTTTTATAGCAGCTTTAATGAAGTTTAATTTCACTCTAGTTTACTGATTCTTGACTATTCATTTTAAATGCAGTTTCTCGAGTAGCCCTTGTTTTCCAGCATCTCACAATGGAATTTTGTGATGAAAAGCGGTCACATTTCAACTGTTATCAACTCATGAAGGATTCAATAATTAGAGAACTTAAGGACAGATGATACAAACAAACTATTGTCAAAAGAAATAAAATTATCAACCTAGGTCATGAGTAAATGAGTGAAATGAATAACTTTCAATGCGCAATTTTAATTTTTTTTATTCAAATATTCTTTAATCTTCTTTAATCTTACACAATACAGCATTAGGTAATGTGGTTCCTCAAATATTTCTGCAAACACGACTTTTTTTAAATCCGACAACTTATGATACATTTGCCATATTATCAATTCTAGCAATTACACTTAACGCTTCTTAACGTAGAGAAAGAAATTAAATCCTGCATCGGGAAATCACCCTTGATATTTTTTTTTTAATTCAAAAACTACACTGAGTGCATGATAACATGTATATTTAATAATAATAATAATAATAATAATAATAATAATAATAATAATAATAATAATTTCCTTGTTGATTCATATATACAAGCCAACATAAAGATATTGTTAGATTAAAAGCCATGTATGTAAACATGATATACGTAAGTCTAACCAATTGTCAGAAAATTAAAACTGAAAACGAAAAGAATAATATACCGATGTTATGAAATTTATAGCCATAACAAGTGCTCTATATAGAATCTTTAAAATAATAAAATAAATTAACTAGACTAAGTATTAAATGTCAGTTTACATTTGCGATCCCTGCTTACTTTCAAAACGAAAACAAATAATCATTCTATTTACATCAATACTGATTTGTAAACTTGAAAAAAAATAGCTCCGTTATAATATGGCCTTCTTTAACGTTGTGCGTGAAAAATTCGAAATCTGCTATTTCGGATTAGTTTATATTTGATTTGATGTCATGTTTGGAAATCCATGCTGATGAGAGATAATGAGCACTTGTAGTACCATTACTGAAAAAAAGACGTTCCTGTTTCACAGATTACTTAGTGGTATTATTAGGATATGACTTCGTAGACATGCGTTTACATATAAAGATATGTGTTCATCCTTACATATGACGAGCTATATAGCATTAGAAGCTGAGATCAGAAGTAAGACTGTAAGGGACATACAGACTGAAGTCTTTTACGTGCCTGGGGGCCTTGAGAGCAAATCCGAAATGTCACGATGCATGGACTTGAACTTGCTTGATGACGTTGTTGTAGAGTTTCAATGCGTATATTTTATCTTATTAAAGTTGGAACAGGTAATTTTATGGGACAGTAATATGTTGCTATGAAACTTATTGCATCTTCTGTTGAACTAAAGTGTTTATGATTAGTGTAATCAGTTTGATTTTTATAAATCAATATAAGATAGCCCTCGTTTATTGTTTTAGTAAGAGAGGTCTGAGAAGTATAGGAATTTTGAATCCATAATATAGGATTTTAATTTCCAAGGAAAAAAAGACCCTTTTATGTACTTAGAAGTATTTTCACTTTTTATTAAAGAATAAGAAATGACAAGCAAAACTGGAAAAGGAGACAACATAGACAGTAAATTGATAGCCAACCTGCCATGCACTTAAACTGAATTTTGAAAGAGGTAAGAGGAGTGCCGACATCCTAAATATTTCATATTGTTTGTAATTCCACATTTTAGATACTTAAGACTAAGTGATTTCAATTACTACAGCTTTTATGAAACATTAAAACGAACAGGAAGATGATGATAACGACAAGAACTTCCATGAAAACGAACACGGAAGAAAAAAAAAGGAGTAAAACCTCCATATAAGCCTGAAACAACTTATCAAAACACCATAATGATACCAAAAGTAAAAGATCAGAGGTAGATTTATTATGTGTGTAAAACGAATTTGGTCCTTGGTGATTAATTTTGAATAATACAATTTCAGTAGTTGTATATATCCTGGGAAGTATTTTTTTAAGTAAACGTAATTAAGATCTGTAATTGCATTGTTTCATATTGCAATTTTGAGTGGAAAACATTCCCATTTGAGCTGGTTACTTGAAATCCTTGCGATATATTTTGAACTCCAGTAACAAATAAATATATCTTTTTCTAAGCACATCTTGGGTTCACAAGAAAACAGTGAATTAATTTAAATGACAAAATATTTCTTAAAATTGTGTTTCAGGGCTGCGCGGCAGAAATTAATGCGAGACATTTCAAAAATGTATAAATAACCGTCTCGCGATGTGCGAAGTCATTGCAAAAACTAGGTTACTATATACTGTAAACCAACTTTTATTCGCGTGCGAGAAATTTTTGCGAAGTTCGCGAGAGCCTCTTAATCGCGAATTATACTCGCCGCGAACCGGCCCTTATAGTATATTTGTCTATTAAAAACAGCTTGAAAAAAGGCTTGATCGCGAAAATTAATCGTCGCGAGAACCTTCTGTATGAATCAGCTATACTTATGTGAAACGATCACAAATGAATAATTAAAACAGACATTGCTATGTACTATTATCTTTAAAATGCATTTCAAACCTTCGGGAAACTTTAATCTTAGCAACATGTAATGAGCGTTTCCTCTAAAATGTATTGTGTTAAATGACTTGTAAAATTGATAACATTTATTTTTTTTCTTATTTCAGGCAGATAATCAATAAAACATGTAAAACGCAGAGAATCTGAAGTTGTGCAACTTCACAGTTGAAAATACTAGTATATTTTATTATTTTATAGATAATGTCAATGTTATCGTAATCACTCAATTAGATGTTTATGCAACCAAAAGGAGCAACATAATAATGCCCCCAAGATTATCATAGTGCTTTAATTATGGATCATTCACTACATTGTATTGTGATTTATTCTTTATGGTTTATCCTGGTTTCAATCTCGTCATAGTAAAATGCCATTTCTAAAAAAAATATTGTTACATCAAATATTTTTCAAGCATCGATCTATATGAAATCTAGATTGCCAAATTCTGTCTTTCATTTAATCATGTACGTGTATGGTTATTTGTATTTGCTTTGTGTATGATGACATGATACCAAATAAATACATACATACTACTACTACTACTACTGCTACTACTATATTGCACTTATCATCTGTAATTGAATGAAACATATCACGAGAGACATTGAAAAATATGCTAACAAACTAAACCGGAAGAGATCAAAATGTGTTTCATAAAATGCACAAAGAGCACTTCCGATCTTGCATAAAATGTGATGTTTAACTTCTTCTATTAAGGTTTATGAACTTTAATTTGAACAAGAAATAAAACTATTTCTTTGATGCTGAACCTTGTACATTGTATTAAGTGCAGGCACATATATTTTTGTAAGCGTATGCTGTGATTCTACGAAAAAAAAAGCCCCACATTTACTCACCGATCACTGGTGTATTCAATATTGACAGATCTTTCACTTTTCCATTTCAACATTCTAATTATTCAATTTCTACTTTTATTATTGGACACACGTATAGTGCATACAATAACATAAAATTATGTAAAGGAAACATAAAGAATCTTTTCAACTGAAAGGGAACTACATGTTTATTAATCTTTTGTCGCTCTTTCTAGCTTAAACATCTCACATATGATGAGACTGATTTGCATGATGTCGGAATTTCCATTAATCTTTCTCTGTTCCGTGCTACGACGAAACAACTTTGGTTATGGGTAATTTATCCGGGAATGATCTTAAACAGTGTCAGTTTGTGGACAAGATAATGTTACAAAACGGAGATAATTCTTATTTTACCTATTATTTTACGTATTTGCTAATGGAATGAAGAAAAAATCTTATTCATCAATTAAAGTTAAGCAGAGTAATGTTGTCGTGTGAAAATCTAAAAAACATTAATAAACCAAAGATTGAAGAAACTGCTTCTGAAATTAAATAAAAATCAATTGAATGTGAAAAAGAATGTAAATTTATTTTAGAAGCAGCATTTGACAATTTTCGTTAACAGTGCATATCACAATGTATTCTTATATGGAAGTGTTAAATCAGAATCAGATCAAAAATTTTTATTTTGAGTCGTATTTTTATAACATAAACATAAGCTCCGTAGAGCTTTTGACCGAGATTATATTAGTACTACATATCATAAATAACTATCTACACATATAAAACAGTTAGAATCACACGCATGTGAGTTAAGGCTACATATGGAAATTTCTATACAAAATATCTAATTAAATTCCATAATTGCTCTACCAACCGCACAGAAAATGCTAAGACTTGTTTTCTAATACATTCTTGGTACCCACGACATGCGAAAGCCAGTACACATTATGACGTCATATTATGACGTCATCGACATGTACTACACAAGTTTATAAGAAACATCAACAAAATCACTTCGGCGCAAGGGCATACCTTACTTTGTTTTACAGAAACAAGGTATCAAAAGACGCAGGATATTCCAAGGATTTAAGATATTGATGCACAAATGTCGGCAGTGCAATTGGTTACTTACTATTCGTGCAGTTTTAAGTTTTAACAGGGTAAAAATTCACTGTCCAGGGTAAGTTTCCTAAAATTTTTATCAATTGAGAAAGTGCATAGGATTTGTGCAGCAATTTTATTGATTTTAAGAATACTCGCCTTAATTTTATACATTGTTTATTTTAAATTAGATAGGATAGGCCCTTGCGCCGACGTGATTTTGTTTATATGATTTAATACCTTGAATGGGAGAGAACAATGACGTCATAATATGACGTCATAATGTGCACTTGCATTAATAAACTGTGGGTACTGAGTATGTATCAGAAAATCAATTTGAACCTTCTCTGTACATAAAATATACAAATTATGAATTTTCATTAGCTTATTTGCATAAAAATATCCATATTTAGCCTTAACTCACTTGCGCATTGTCATGCATCACAACAAGCAATATTTACACATATACACACAAAAACGACACAGAAAGCACATATATCATGCATATGAATAATACAACACAGAAAATAAATATAAAGGAGTGTCCAAGTAGCACTTATGCCCTGAAAATACAGTCTATGAATTTTCTATTTGATAAAAATATTTTATATTTTGATAAAATATAGCAGATTTGTTTAGTCAAAAGTATATATATTTTTTTTACTACTATAAATTTATGACTACTAAATTTACTCACTTTTAAAGCAAACAAAACAGAATAAACTTAAAACATAAGAGCAATACAAAAATAGATAGATAAATAAATAAAAAAGGAACTAAAAAGAAAGTGAGCAAAAACTGAAGATTAAGATTTGAGGATTAAGATCTGAAGGAGCCACACTTACAGGAGTCTCCATTCCAATTGTTAATTAATTTTTAAACTGAGTAATTGTAGTTGCATTTCTAATTGTTTCAGGGAGTTAATTCAGATCTATAGATTGGCTCCTGCATATCTAAAAGAGAGTAATCCATGTTTTGTAGTTCTAACCCTAGGTATCTCTACTGTATTAGTTTTCCTAAAATTATATGTGGTTTCTTTAAAAGTAAATAAATCAGATAAATATGCAGGACTCTCATTATTTAAAATTTTAAAAACTTCTTCAGCCATTGTTCTTAATCTTCTAATTTTCAAAGTTGGTAAGCCTGACTTCAGTAATAACTCCTCATAAGTACTGTTCAAGTCATCATAAATAAATCTGAGAGATCTTTCTTAGATTTTTTCAACTTTTCTTGTATTATTTTCTCCGCAAAAGTGCCAAACAACAGGACAGTAATTAAAATTACTCATAATAAAAGAATAATAAATGGTCAGTTTGCCCAGTTTAGTCAGATGTTTACCTATGCGCTTTAATACTTAAATGTTAAAGTAATACAATGTATTAGGAAATCAGTGTTTTCGGAGAGGTGGATGGGATGTTAAATTGAAATGTTCTCAGTATGCCGAAATTCTTTCAATATTCAAGGTTTTGTTTGCAATATCATCAATATTACATCACATCTTTCCTAATTAAAAAACCCTTTACATGTATCGGAATTTCGCGTCATTGCTGAATATTTTAGAAAATGTCGATACACACAGCAAACCATGTGGGGTAGCCGATTCTAAGGCTGAATAATGATGGATAAACCGTCTTTTTTAACATTATGTATTTTTTTTATCTTATTTAACCCCTCCTTGTAAAGTTCATTTTTTTCAAAATTTAAGTGAATATTCAGGTAAATGTATAAAATAAACAATTTATTATGATCATCAATAAAAATATCCTAATCAGACATTTAGCCTATTTTAACAAATTGAATAAAATAATACGAGGGGCGATCAAAAAGTTCGCGAACTATCTCTATATCTACGAAACCACAATTCAGATCTGAAATAAATTGGTACACACAAAGCCATACAAGAGTTTGATAAATAACATATGCTGAATAAAGTTTTGCTCCTTGTGTGTGACATCACAATGTGAAAATGTTTATGTAAATCACTTAAAACGAAAATTTGTTGTCTCAGTCATACTCGTTCAACAAACGACTGTAAAGTGCATTGTATATCTTAGAAACCCTTTTGCACCAGCGTTAAATAATTTGTGCACAGTTTTTTTTTATGACCAATGACTTCCTTATAAATTTAATCAATGATTTGATTTATAGTTATAATGAAGGAAGGTAGATGTTAAAAAATAATACTTGTATTGTGCCAAGTGAAAGCGAGTTTGAAAAGAAATGTTTTTAATTAAGCAGTTTGTTATCAAAGACCTCCAATTTATACACTTTGCAAAATAATTGAGTATTTCAGTAATACCATAAATATTAAATACCTAATATATCATTAACTTTAGATTTTGAATGTATATAGAAATTTGTAAAATAGTTTGCGAGTTTTTTTATCATCCCTGGTATTATTAAAAATAATACAACTTATTTACATTTGCTGACGACTATCTTTCCTCATCGAACAATGCAAATATGAGTGAAATTTAATTTTCAATGACATGCACTTGGTCACATGATCATACTTCCTTGCGTTTAAAATATAATTTTGTAAAATAGTACTCTGAACTTTAAATACGCAATGTCTTGACCATTATACCAACCCAATTTTTAAAGACAGTTATTATTAGCATTGGAATCATACACTGTATGTGTGATATTTTCTTCCTCTCTCAGCTCAATTTACTGAGATTTTTTTTTTCAATTTTAATTTTGTTTTAATTAAATATATTTCCTTTTCTTGTTATATGAAGCCCCAGATACACTGTAGCTTCCTGATGACAACATTAAATTAAAAATTGCACAACGGAACATAAAATAAGCAATGAACATTAACACAAAATTATTAAACAAAGATAAAAGTTTCATTAATTTTTATTCAGTGGTATATATTGTACTAGGAACTGTGATTTGATAAGGATAACCCCTATGACAATGTCTGTCTTACGAGAACAAAAAAAAAAAGAACAAATTAAAGTAGTGGACAAGGATGCACTTGACACTTTGTATGTTTTGACGAACTGTTGTGTGTTTTTGCCTAACTACATTTTAAGAATGATCCCTGTTAATATGAATGCCTGAAAGTTTACAGTATATTTTCATGCAAGGTTCAAATGAAAATTCAATTTCTGAAAATGAAAAAATAAGAAAAAGACAGAATCTTACCACTTCAGTGTTTAAGTCGAAATTCACTCGCGCTGTTGAGACAATCACAGTCCACAATCGCTATTAGAAAATCACAGATTAAACTATACACAAAGTATTTTCTTTACATCTAGAAGCATCTTTGGTAAACAAGATATAAACAGCTCAGCTATGTTAAGGACCGATATGGAAAATGTTACCTTTGCACCGTATTAATATGTATTGCTTCTTTTAAATTTTTTTAACAAAGCAACTGAGTACTTGTAGAAAATGTGATATAGCTATCATCAATGGATAGGACTGGGCCGTAGTTATTACCAGTTATATATCGCACGTATCAGCTGTTTGTCACGTGACTTGTATAAAAATAGAATTGTTAAGCTGAATGTAGGAAATGTAGATAGTGCAAGGGCATACGCTTGTTTTTCAAGAAAAGAAATGATACACATTAAAAGAGGTTTATATCCTAAGTGCTGGGAGCTAGTCAGTGCTGTTTGCAAAGTACTTATAATTTTGCCGAAAATGCTTAACATAGCTAAAACATAGCTAAAAACTTCCACCTCGCTTAAATTCTGTTATAAATAAAATTAATGTTATGCAGACCAGGATCAGCTCCCAGCACTTTTCAAAATATACACTATATGAGCAATAAATATTCCAAATTTCAGCTTGAACAAAATAGTCTATGCCCTTGCACTTTTGATGTAAATCACGAATACGCTCATCGTTTTAGCGATTTTTCTATATTCCTTATCTACGAAAACGTATAACTGCCTCGTGTTGTTGTATTAGAACACGATATCATGATATAAAAATGTTGTCAAATACAATTACTTCAAGGTTCGGCGACTAAATTATGACAACAATCTCTGATGAATAATACTTTTCTGATATATTTAAGACGCCTTTTACACTTTGATATATCCAAGTTGAGTTCCTAAATGTTGCACTAAAATAATTTGTAAAAATTATGTCGCTAAAATTATATATCGCAGAAATTAGTGCAATATAACATATATGAAGATTTCGCATAGATTTAATCAAAGAGGAAAATTCAACAAAATTAGAATGTCATCAGATTTATTAATGATAACTATTGTATTAAATCGATGAGTGTGTGCTTTTTTAAAGACCCGAGCCACTCTTTGAAAACCGTAGCCACGGGCCTGATTTTCATTCTCCGAAATTGATTTAATTTTAAATAAATCCAAAATTTTACACTGTCGCAATGATTTTTTTTCTCAGAATTAATTAAAAATGAATAAGCAGTTTTTACAGCGTTATAATTGTTTATAAATTGTTTATATCTTTGCTTTTTAAATGTACTCAAAGAACAACTTCATAATATATGTTTGTATAAATTATAACATAAATCTGAATTTATCAAATAAATCAAAGCACTGCTTGTGACAGCACTAACTAATGAGCTTGTGTGTTATCTTTAGAAAGAAAGAGGACAAAATGCAAATTATTTCGTTCAATTTATCAATCTACAAATCATGTTAAAAAATACGTAAGAGTATGTGCAGACGTACGCTCGATTTTTTTTCCAATTGAATTATCAAAGAAAATATACATCTTTCTCTTTTAATTTTGAATTTTTAATAGTTTGAGGTCATATTTAACAGTGGATGACATCACATCAGACGACAATATTTGATGCATATATTTTTGCATATGTTCTCCAAGCTAAGAACATGATTAAAGATTTCGTTATCATAGTTTGAATAGTACAAGTATTACCAAATTTATAGTGACTGTCCTTTGAAGCAACATCCATGAGATTTATTATTTAGGGAAGAGCCTACAAGGATACTATAACTATTTGAATTATCTTATTTAAATCAGACATCAATTCAGTGCAATACGTTATGTTTAGGATGGAATTCATTTTCTCCTTGTATGTCCTCATCTTAATGTACAAAGACTTGAACTCATAAATATTCGTAAAATTTAAATGTAAAATTACTCAGTCTTTATCTTATGATAATCAAGTTAATTGGCTCATGACTAATGAAGACCCTGGTATCCTTAGATCACTTGCTAGTATAATGTACTTAATTTTTTTTCCCAGTTTCTTGCCTTCAACTATAATTTTATTTTAACATATACAATACATTTATGTATATTGAGTATATCTCTTACATACATTTTTATTAATTGCTCTCATTATCATGAATGTTCTAAAATTTGGATCCTCCTCCTTCTTTTGTTTGTAAATCTTTTTGCTCCTTCAGGGGCCCAAATTGGACTTATTAAATCTTGTATTTTGTATAAATCTTATGTTAATGTCGTTCAAATTTTGTTGAATTTTGCTCTTTGATTAAATCGAGTCGTCTAAGCGAAATATTCATACATAGTATATGCACTAATTTCTGCGATAATTAATTTTAGCGACATAGTTTTTACACATTATTTGAGTGCAACATTTAGGAACTCAACTTGGATATATCAAAATGTAAAATGCGTCTAATTATATCAGAAAAGTATTATTCATCAGAGATTGTTGTCATAATTAAGTCGCCGAACCTTGAAGTAATTGTATTTGGCAACATCTTTATACCATAATATCGTGTTCTAATACAAAAAAACGAGGCGGTTATACGTTTCCGTACTTATCCCTGTGCAGCTTCAATGCTACTAGACAAATTCATATTCTATACACATTTTATTTAATAAATTATTTTCTTTTAGTTTTAATAATTACAGTCCCTGAAACGTTCTACTTTCCCACCTGAACGGTGAGCGAACGCTGAACGAACGGTGAACGAACGGTGAACGAACGCAGAGCGAACGGTGAACGAACGGTGTGTGAACGCTGAACGCAACTTGGTGAACGATGTGTGAACGGAGAACGGTAAGTGAACGCAGAACGCGAACGGAGCGCAAACGGTGAACGGTGAACGAACGGTGAACGCAAGATGAACGATTTATTCGGAATGCCTCAGATTTTTTCCTTGCATTTAAATTATTCTGTTATATTCTTATGTTAGATGCTAAAATATAAATAAACAATTAATAAATAAGTGAATAAATAATTTCAACATTTTTCTGCACATACGTATGATGTTTTAAATCAATATTTTAATAACACGATTTTTATTGCCGTAAAACATGTGTGTTTGTTACCGAACACATGTCGTATAAAAGATAAAATTAATTTACTAATAAAATAAATCTGCTTATTCTTTTGACTATTAAAATAATGTAGACTTCAGAAGAGAAAACTACTATACTTACAGAATGAATTATTAGATTAAAACTAAATAATATATATTTCGATGTCACGGCGATACCGTGTAAAATACCGATTTTTTTTTTATTAATTTATATAGGTCTGTTGACATATTGCACCATTCACTCGTATTAAAAAAAATTATGCAATAATATTATATATTTATTGGTTATTTTTATTTTGTCTGGTTATTTTCTAAGCTAAGTTTTACATGTAAATGTATATCTGAAGACATTTCCCGACCATGATTATACTCGGACAAGATAATGGATAGATCATTCAAATTATTTGTAATACATTAGAATTTCAGAACTAAATAAATAATAAATATTATTATGTTGTCATAGTTTTTATTTAACATGACAACTGTAAAAGTGATAGAAACTTGAGAGAGAGAGAGAGAGAGAGAGAGAGAGAGAGAGAGAGAGAGAGAGAGAGAGAGAGAGAGTGAGAGATTTGTTGCATCGAATAAAAATTCATATATTAATTTTTTTTTCTAATATTCCAGGCAGTCAAAGTAATCATTTTTTTTTTTGATTAACAAATCCATTTGACAGTAAGCATCGTTTATTTTTCCTTCAAGTTCAAACGATTCACTCCAAGTGCACGTGCTTGTCCTGTCAATCAAAATAATTCGACACAATGGAGGTGTTTAAATCTCGCTTCACCGAACATGCCGTCACTTCGTATTCCCAAGAAGTTTTAACATTTTGTTTACATCATTTTTAAAATTGATTTTCGCTTTTCTACGGAAAAAATGAATAAATAATTGCAATACGTGTATATACCTGGAATGATTAAGTTTGAAATTGAATTCAAAACATAATCCCTACCAAATCAAAATACCATTGTCGGCACATGCATGTATATAATAACTGTTTTGATGTTTGTATAAAGAAAAATTGTTTCTGTGTTACATGTACAATATACATTGAATATTAATTAATATATACTGAAAATACTAAGTCTTTGATTTCGGGAGAAAGGGTGCCGGGGGGGGGGGGGGGCTGTTAAGCATACTGAATGGCAAACGCGTATATTTAGTTACTTGAAGGAAGGTTTTTTTTTTTCCTTTGTAATGATACACTTTATATACGTGATGTAGACCCAAAAATTTTATTGTATTAAATTTTAAACAGTTTGTCTTTTCTAAAATTTAAAATAACTCTAACAATTAAATTCGCTCTACAAATGTTTAATTAACTGAATATCTGTAGTACTATTCATAATTCTCAGACATATATATAGTTCTAGCATGTTTTTGTTTATTTTTTCTTTAAAAACTTGTTAGACATATTTTTGTGTATTCTTGTCTTGTAAAAGACTTGGATTATTATTCATCTGTTAACGATTTTTTGTCGTCTTTTATATTATAACAAAATGCCGCGCTTTAAATATTTGTTTAGGGACATTGTCCTTATTTAGATTTAATATTTTAGCATCGTTCTACTTACATGTATTATCTTAATGTATTTTTTCCAGGGAAAAATGGATAAAGTAACAACTAAGTTATAATAATAGAAATATATATATCGTAGATACTTTTTGCATTGAAAAAATTATTCTTCAAACACGATATCTTAGTTATTTAATTTAAGAAACGTGTAAATCCTTACCATAAAAAAGATAAGTCCTTTCACTTCGGAGTTCCGAATGACAATAAAGACTGAACGATAAGTGAACGGTGAACGCAAGGTGAACGCAAACTAAACGGAACGAAGAGCGAACGGTGAACCTTTTGTGAACGGTGAACGCGAGCGCACGGTAAACGGTGAACGCAAAACTGTGAACGGAGAGCGAACGGTGAACGCACGCTGAACGAACGGTGAACGAACGGTGAGCGAACGGAAAAATGGGAAAGTAGAACGTTTCAGGGACTGTAGGTCTAAAAATAAGCAATGGAATCAAATTTATTTAAGCATTCTTGTAATTATCAAACCAGTGAATTTACTCCTCTGGGTCACTTGTGCTGCGTCAAGTCAAGGCTGATGACGTCATATTTGACAAAAGGCTTTCTTCTATTACTCGATTGTATCGCTATGAAGTATTGCAATTTTACAA